CTACCCCACAGGGCATCAGCACACTGCAATCCCCTGTTCATTTCTCCACCTTGTTAGAACCTTCCTTGGGCATGCACGCACATGCACACACACACACACACACACACACACACACGAGCACTTAACAGGTTCTTTAAGCTGTTAGAGCCAGGATTTGAATCACAGTCAGCCATATAAGATCTGGCTCACCTTAACCACCAGGCCATTGAATCGGCCCTCTCCTCATCCTTTTAACCTGTAAATAGCTGGGATGCTTCAGAGTCAGTGCTTAGTCTTCCCCATCTCTCATCCGTCTCCTGATGAGCTCATCTGATAGAGCTTTCAATGCCATCTGTACTCTGAAGACTCCTGAGGCTGTCTCCAGCCCAGCTCTTTCCCGTGAACCCAAGGCTGCCTACTCAACATCTCCACTGGGAGCCTCAACAGACGTCTCAAAGTCAACATGAGAAACACCCAACTCCATCTCTCCTCCCAAACCTGCTCCACCCACAGTCGAAGCAGCTTGAGTCATCCTCGACTCATCTCCTTCTCTGACATAGCCATCCAATCCATCAGCGAAACCCCTTGCCTCCATCCTTAAAAAAAAAAAAAAATGAAGAAAAGAAGAGAGAGAGAGAGAGAGAGAAGGTTCAGCGTCTTAGTGCTTTTTACAGCTCCACTGTGACCCCCTCAACCAGCCGTTACCACCTCTCACCTGGATTACATTTTCACTTCCTGGCTGGTCTTTCTGCTCCCACATTCACCCACATCCAGCCTTTTCCCAGCATGGCAGTCGGGAGGATCATTTAAAAATGTTTTTCCTCTGCTCAGAGCCCAGCACTGGCCCCCATCTCACTCAAGTCAAAGCTAAAGTTTTACAATGCCACTGCGAGCTTCTCTTCTAGCTCGACCACTTTACAGCATCTTCCCCTGCACCATACTGAGGATGGCACACACCCCCATGCCCCATCACCACCCCTGGACCCCGTCTTCCTTCTCTGCTCTATTTCTCTCTGTATCGTGGGCCACAGCCTAACATGCTAAGCACAATTGACCTTTCTGTTGCTTATTTTTTATCTTCTCAGCTGGATGAAAGAACACAAAAGCAGGAATTTCTGTTGGATTTATTCACTGCTGCATCCCTGGAGCCTAGAACCCAGCCTGGCACTAGATTGACACTCCATACCTATTTACTGAATTCCATTTTCCCAAGTAATTTTCCTGCTTCAAATCACTCAGTGACTCTTTATCTCCACAGAATAAAGTCCCCTCCATTGCAGGTACCCAAGGCCCTTCGGGATCTGGCCACTGCCACCTCTCCAGCCTCCTTTCTTACCACATTGCCCTCCATAACACAGCCAGATGGACTCGCTAGCATGCCCTACCGTGGTTTTTCACTCTGCTCTTTGCGTATCTTTGCATGAGCAACTTTCTCACCCTGGCACTCTCCCACACCAGCTCTTTGGGGACTCAGTTTAGAGGTCACTAGCTTAGAAAAAGACTTCCCTGAGCTCACTCCACTGCGCCACTCCATGGTCCCTTGGAGTCGTGCCTCTCAGGACCTGCACCAGTCTGCATTGCAGACTCTTTCTAACCTGAACCATGCCGCTCTTTCTCACCTGACCCCTGCGGGACAACCAGGCTGCCGGCCCTCATGTTGGCACCCCAGCCCGTGGCTGGGGAGACCTTCCGTGCATAAGAGGTAGTAGAGATTGTATTTATTGTATGATTATTTCTCTTTGAGAAATATTTAATCAGTGACTCTCTCCAATAGGTATTAAGTGTCCACACACAGATCAAGGTCTAATTAATTGGCTAATACAGTGATGGACTCGCTCTACACACCAGAGAGACAGTTTAAGTGCATCTTCTCACCCCGAGCTGTTTTCCCTTTTCAGAGCCTCTTCTCTTCCTCAAAGCATGAGAAAGGAAGCAGCACATGAGGGGGAGGGTGCAGTCCCCGCAGCATCCTTAGCAATCAGAGCAGCGCCAAGGCCACTCCTCGAGTCCACGGGCACCTGGTACAGGCCCCACGCAAGAGACAGTTTTTAATTGCACTTCAAATTTCCCCACAAATGGATATATTTCAGTCCACATTTATTACAGTCACGAGCTTTTTGATCTGTCTGGCTCAGCTGTATTTCTTAAGTAAACTGAGTGAGAATTGGTTTTGCTTAGTCATTAAAAATCCCCTATGTTGAAGGTTAAATGTCCACAGACCATCCTGAATTCATTCAATAAACTCCTTATATAGCTTCACCATCATACCAGGCTCCGGGCTAACCCTTGGGAGAGGTGTAATAGCATGGAAGGCATGGGCCAGTGGCCAGTGAAGGAGTCATTGTAACTATTTCAATGGTTCCACCACTTCCATTAACGTTTACTTAACTGAAGGTGGCCGTGACAGATTCAAGAAATAAGTCTGTGTACCCACTGCATACCCAGACTGTGGCTAAGTCAGTCCACTTCATCCTAACAGATTTACCATATTACTGATGAAGAAACTGAGGATCAATGACATTAGATCCCATGCTAGTAAGTGTTGGAGGTGAGATTCCAATGAAAGGCCATGCCCCTTCCCCTCTGCCACCCTGGTAATCCGAGAGCTCTCCAAGGCCGTTAGATGAACTCCAACCAGACGGTGGTAGCAGCAGTAACAGAACGCGCTGTGAGGCTGACCCACATGGGAAGGTTTGGGGTTTGCTTCCGGAGATCCCTCTGAATACATGGGTACTCAGATACCCACAGTCCTGGGCGGACTGAAGCTGGGCGTGAGGCACAGCATGAGGACCCTGACGGGGATATGCCTGGCTCTGTGTCTCTCTGTTTCTCTCTTGGTCATGGAATAAAGAGGCAAATTTAAAAAAAAAAAAAAGTATAGCAATGGACCACAAAACTATACAAAGTTGCTCAGTCTAAACAAACTCCACTGGGATCTGTTTACAACTCCTTGAAAAGCAACAGCCTTCGGTAAATTAAAAACAAATAGATACACACACACACACACACACACACTATTAAGTGGAAAAGAAAAATTAACACAAAGAAATAACCTACTTATTTACTTATTACTGACGGGTCTCAATCAGTCCCCAGTCACAGATAGTGACATCTATCCCAGACCTCTTTTGTGAAGCCTAGGTTCTTTCCCGTTCCCCCAGAAATAGAAAACGGGTGTTGACTCTTGATCAATAATGCACAGAGAGGCAGAGACCCTGTAGCCTTTGGGCTACCAGTTGCTGGAGAGAGAAGGCAGGAAGAGGTGCCCATAGCTGTGTGGAGGGTAGGGGTGGGAAGGTGGGTGGAGGTCCCTCTGCACTGGACCCTCTGTCTATGAGCGCTACTGCTAACCATGACCACACTCCTGCTTATAGTCTGGACTCCAGGTCAGAACTTGACCCTCCATGAAAGCATTCTCACACAAGCACAATGCACAGCCTTGGCAAAGGGCGCCAAGCCTCCATTGCCACCCCCCAACCCCTCAGGCTTCCTGTCTGCACCCTGTGCACCCCAGGCCTTTGTACTGACTTTCTCTTTGCAGGAAACATCTCTGCCTGGGTTCCTTCTTTGGAATCTTCAAATTACCACTCAAATCCACCGATGAATGGGCACAGTGATTAGGAATTCCATAAAGTGCTTCTTTTATAGGCTTTGAACAGTTTCTCCTAACCAGAGAGTTGCTGCCACGCTGAGAGTTTTATTCTTCTGCTAATACAAATTGCACTGCACCCACCGGTGCTTGGGAAGCAGACACACTGACTTCCACAAAATTCACCCAGAGAAAGTGCCCAGCCTTTGCTGGGGACCTGAAAAGGGTTCAACTGCCCACACAGTAACTACTGCTCCTGTAAACAGTTTTGGACTCTGCAGGCAATAACTTTTGGGGAAAATCCCCACTCGTGTGAGCTGGGTTTTGGCTCAGATCCCTCTTAAGACTCGCAAGGTGATGTTAATCATCCGGCGTGTTTTAAAGCCTCTGGAAAAATCAGTGCAAGTGCTTTTCCTCCTAAGCTCCTCTCTTGGGTGGGAGATTGGAAGCCTTTGGAAGTTCCTTCCCAAGCCACATGGACTCATGCCCTAAGACCCTGGGGACTGTCACTCAGGACCGTGAAAATGGCTCCCTCTGCCAGGCCCTGGCTTTCAGGGCCATCTATGAAGTCGTGTCAGGCTGATGGAAAGGCAACCTTTCCTTTGGGTATGACTAGAGCCGAGTATTTCACCCAGAAGGAAGCTGTGGGGGCGAAAACAAATCAATGAAGGATTTGCAGATAGATATTCTCTGGGCCCAAGTACAATTTACGAAATGCAATGTGCAAAGAAGATAAATCTACTCCCTCTCTCTGCCAAGCTCGAGCAGATTCCTGAATAAAAACAACTCTTTGCAACAGAACCTTAGACTCTGCTAGAAGTGAGTTTCCTCAAAAGGCACAGGGAAAGGGGTGAGGAATTCCTGAAATCCTACAGCAAGTGTTTTAACCCAAGCAGCATTCAGAGTGAAGGGGAGGGGAGACGGAATGGGGACAGGTGTCGGCAGTGTTCTTTCCTCTGGGACAATTTACAGGGAGAAAGTTGTATGGAATGAGTTTTCCGATAATACGGGGGAGCAGCCACACAGCCATCTTCGGATCTAGCGGCAGGTCATCGATTTGAGAAGCAAGTCAAGCCAGGTTATGCTCTTTTCCTTATAACCCAGGGGAAGAGACCCTGCCAGGAGGAGAGAGCTTTTCATGAGCTGGAGGTGAAAGAACCAGGTTTCCCCACTCCTCCAAACCACTTTGGCAGCCCGGTGAAGCCAGGGCCAAAACAAATACATTAGGAGCTACTTCCAGATCTCCCTTTCCCTCCCCTTCCTCTGAAACCCATGAAAACTTGATTTGTCTCAACTAAGCACAAGCTGGAAAATTGGAGAGGAGGAAGAGGGAAGGGGGAAAGAAAGGGGGGCCAGGCAGCGTCCATGCAGTCAGTGGTATTATTGATTTAGAGCCACACAAGCTTCAGAGTGCCATCGGCAAGGATCATACCTCCGGCTGATCTCGGGGGACATTCTCCAAGATCCATGGCTGGGAGTTAAGGAGAATCTCTAAGCCATCAGGAAGGAGCAGAGCACTGCAGCTCCTCAGAATGATGGACCAGGGCGAGCTTTAATTAACAGGGTCTGATGCCTCTTCTTTTTTGGTAACTGAGCAGATTTAAAGGGCTAGAGTCCCAATTCGAAGGGTGCTGGTGCTGCTCCTGCTGCTGCCGTTGCTGCTGCCGTTGCTGTTCCGGCTGCTGGAGAAGCTTCCTGCAGACTTCTCCTTCCAGCAAGGAGATGGAGCAGTGAGGGTGGAGAAGTGAGGCCGGGGATGTCAGGGCTGCTCAGGCTGCAGGGTTTGAGACAGAACCGCAGGGCTGTGGACCCACGCGCTACCCACCCCCACGGGAACCTATGCCCTGCTCGCTGTCTCCTCGACCAGAGGGGAAGGGCTGGGCGCTGTGGGTGCCTGTGGCATCAGTGGCACCCTCTCCAGACACAGTGCCAGGCTAGACCCTTGCTGGGTAAAGGGAGAAGTTTGGTCTCGGCTGTGGGCTCCTCTCCTGAGAGTACTGCTGGGAAGCAGCCATCCTGTAAGCTGGCACACACACGACAGTGCACATGCACATGACTTCTCTGTATGCACATGTCCATGCACACGCATGTATACACATCTGAATGCACATGCCTGCCCATATACACCTCTGCCAATGCAAAAACCACATGACTGCCCATGTACACACATCTGCAAAAGTACACGCATGCTTCACCATGCACATACACATGTCTGCCATAAGTACATGTGTCTGTTTGTGTACACTCTTTTTTCCATATATACGTGCCACCCATGCAAAACCATATGACTGCCTACGTGCATACATACCTGTCCATGCACATCCACGTCTTCCCATATACATATGTCTTCCCATGCACACACACATGCCTTCCCATGTATGCATGTCTGCCCTGTGTGTACACAGACCTAATCATATACCCACATCTTCCCATGTACACCTACATGCCTGCCCATGTGCACCCTCTTACTCGCTCAGGTACACACACACATCTACTCATGTACATGCCTGCCTACTTCCCAGACACCCAGATGCAAAGGCACAAGACCTGCAGGAGCCAGGCGCCCTGCCCTCACACCTGTGTTTTATACCAGTGACCTAGCAAAAGAGAGTTGTGACACACAGCATAGCCAGGGAAGACCCTGGGGTAAGGGCCCTGTGTGGGGGAGACAAGCTGGGTGGGAAGCTGCCTGCCTCTCTGGCTGCCTTTGACGGAGTGCGGATCTGCATCAGGGGCAGCTCCTACTCAGGACCATCATCCTGGAGACCCTCTCACCACACAGCCTCTTTTCACCTGTCCCCCTTGGGCAGTTGCTGGTCTGTTTGTGACCTCATCTTGGCTGAGGCCTCGGCAGCTCAGCCTCATACTAGCCTATTGTGCTGGGCACCCCAAACAATGGAGCTGATTTTTCTATGACATTTCTTTAGTCTCTATGTGAGCTCTTTGCATGATATTTTTAACACCTTCTCCTACTAAGCACACAAAATAAGCTCCAACAATCCATGCTCAGTAGCCAGAGGCCCTTAGGTGCATGCCTTGGAGTGAGTGTCAGGGTGCTCAGGAGGGAGCTGGGTTTTGGTCTGGGGGTGAATCTCAGAGCCTGCCCTGACTCTTCTAAGAGGATGTGTGTGACCCCTTCCCATCTTAAGCCCAGGTTTTTAATTTGGAAAATGGCAGGGTTGGATGAAGCCAGCAATGCTCTTAACAGAAAGGGGAAGGGAGGAAGAAGACATATGGACATTTAGAAGCATGTTCAATGACCCAAGCACCAAGCCTGACCAAGTCTTCCTGGCTGATGGGGACAGCGCATTGCAGAAAACATGTCCTAAAAATTCTTGATTAGCACAGTTCAAGGTCATCTCCAAGAGGCTCAGGGTCAACAAAGAATGGAATGGGGTGGACACAACCTCCTTGATCCCAGCCTCTCCCCTGCAAAATGGATCCTACATGCAGCCAGCTCAGGCTGGCAAAGTCAGAAAGAGTTGGCACTTTAGGTTCCAGCTGAGCCTTCAGCAAAATCTAAGTCTTCCCAGCAAACCTCTCCCAGTGCCCACTCGCCCTCTGCCAACGCCCACCTTCAGGTGCCCAGTTGCCCTCATACCCATAAAAACTTGGTCAGCAAAGAATCTATCAACATCTAGACATCCATTAAATGCAATTTCTCATCCCACCATCTTCCAGGGAGAGTTGGATTTGCGTTTTCTCTCTCCCTTACAGAAAGTGAGCAGAAAATGGTGTGAGGCAGGGCAGACATTAATAGTGCCCACAGATGCACAATCCCGGAACCCCCAACACCTAATGGCCATCTCCAGGTGAGAGGGACTCTGGGGACAGTAGAGGTTAGCATGGCAGAGAGACACCCAATAAGAACCATGTGACAAGAAAGTGTGTGGAGAGGAATTCCAATCACTATTTCTGCTACCCCACCTCCCAGATTCTTGGGTTTCTTCCTGAGTTTTCATTAATAACTTCAAGTCCTTTTTTTTTTTTTTTTTTTTTGAGACTGACAACAAGGAGGATCCCCACCTGTGATGAGTCCACTGCCTTCTCTCCAGTCCCTTGGGGCGCAGTCTCCTCACGTGCCCACAGGAACCACCATGGTGTCCCCATGGGCTTCTGTGCCCCAGAATGCCAGCTCACATCTTTCCTGACTCTTCACACAGGTGCTCAGAGCAGAGCAAGGACCAGGCTGAATTATCGGGATTAAATGCCATGAATTCGGCTCAGCCTCAGTGATGCGAGCCATTAACACACTGTACTCCACAGGCTGGGACCCCATGGAAGGCCTGGGTTTGATTCTAGGTCCATCCTGGAGGCCATGTTTGGTGACATGTGCCTGTAATCCCAACCACTTGACTCTTGACTGGAGCAGGAGGACCCTGTCTTAAAAAATAATAATAAAAAATTTTTTTTATAAAAGCATGAACTTGGACAGTAACAGAACTGGTCAGCTGGGAAGAGACATTTACTCAACTCTCCTGGGACCCCTGGCCATCCTGTGGGCTGGGAAATGGATCTACAGTGCCACCACCAGGAAGAGCCCTCTTCTGACCTCTCAATGTCCAGACAGAAGGGACCAAGGCCTCAAGGGAAGGGGTGTCCCCTCTTCTCCCACCCACGGTCTACTGTTGCATGGCCTTTGCCCTTCCCTGGTGATTGGCAGGGGAAAATGTCCACCCTCCTCATTGTTATCTGCAGGAGCTTAACTTTAGCTGACTTCCACGAGATAAGCTTATCAGAATCCAACTCAGGAGCCTAATCTCTGATTAAGGTGGGAATGATTTTGTGGGGCCTCGAAATTGGCCTGCACAGAAATCTGCTGGCTATTCACTATCACCCCTGAGCTCCAGGTCCCCCACAGAGACTCTGTGTCACAGGGCTGGCATCTCCAGACCACACTACCCAGCACCACTGCCTTCTGACTTCCGGATCAGCTCAGTCAAAATGGGAAGGCAGAACTGGATGGTGGGGCGGTGGTAAATGCTTTGTTCTGTGAGGGTGATCCACTCGGGAAGGTTCTGGGTTGCGTCCAGAGACCTCCTTGAACCCGAGAGGCAAGCACACGCACATGATAGAGGGCTGGCGGAGGCTTGAGGTAGACTCAGCATGAAGACCATGTTGGGTTCATTATCTCTCTGTCTCTTTGCTCATGGAAGAAATAAAATAAATAAACCTCTAAAAAATATTAAAAATGGAAAGGTGAGATGGCAAGAAAGCAGCAGAGGATATTTTTCAAGCCCAAGTTTTTCTTTGGTACTTCAAATACCACCTCACTGTACTCCAGCACTGGCTTTGCCTCTCGTGGAGGGACCAGACACAGCTGCACCTTGCCCCTCAACATGGGAATGCCCGCCACTCGAATCCTGCAGGGGCGACTCTCCCCCAGAGTTCTGATCACACCAGCCCTATCAGGCCCTTCCATAGGCAAAGCCAGGTAGGACCACCTCCTCTTTCTGGTTCCCCCCATCCTGAGAGTGCTCGCTATTCTTGCAATGAGTAATTTCCGGATAATTTCAGCCTCCAATTCCTGCGTAACTAATCCTCTCTATTAAATACCATCTGTCTGAAACATCTAGTACAGTTTTTGTTTTCCTGACTGGACATGAATTTTCCTGGGAGATCCCAAATTGGAGTGTTCCGATAGTTAGGACTGAGCCCTAATCTGCACATTCTGGCACACAGTATATGCACTTTGGAGGATAAATGTCGACATTTACAGATTAAAGAAATTATGAGAGATGATAAAGATTTAAGATCATTCCTCAAGGTGAAGTCCTTTGGCACATTCTCGTAGTATAGAGTTGTCTTTTATTATAGCAAATTTATGGATATCAAGAAGAAAAAAATGTTCTCGGTCTAATTTTAGATCTAGTAAATTCAAAATAAAGAATTAGGAGGAACTTAGAAACTTTACTTCAGGAGGATTGGACTAAGTGCCAACATAGCAGAGGACTGTGGATAGTTTATGCCTAACTCTCCTGTTCATTAACTAGTTATGTTATGTGTGTCACATACATGTTAGTACCTTTTACTAATGTTTAGGAGCTCGGACAGCGGCAGTTATTGGAGAATCAGAGGACCTTAATTCATACCTCCACTCATCCCCAACGGGGTCTGTGCTCTGAGAACCACGCAAAGAACATCCATGCTGAAAACAGAAGGGCCCGGGACCAGCAGTTAGCATAATGGCTATGTCGCTAGACTCCCATGTAGTCGACCGCGGTTCGCGTCCCAGACCCGGTGGCTTAAAACTCACTCCGGGTGCCTGTGCGCGCATGCCCAAGATCCCGAGAGGAGAATGGAGGAGAAAGGATTGCAGTGTGGCCATCCCCCCTGGGGGGTGATTTCTCACTTTCTGTCTCTCTGTCCCTCTCTGTCTGTCTGGCGAGCGCATGCGTCCTTTAGCAAAAACCTCTCAAAAAAAAATAGGGGGGCCCTGGGTGGAGTCTGGAGAAGGTGCCTGAGGGCAGAAGGTCTAAGGAAGGACTCTAGTGTCTTCTAGAGGAGGGAGCTCACCCCATGATGATATGACTTAGAGAGTAGCCTTGGTGGGACATCTACCCACACAGACAAGAGAGCAGCAGGAAGACGCCTGCTTCAAGCAATGCCCTGCCCAGTCAGGCTTTCTGCAA